GATTGAGGAAAACCAAATTAAGTTATGTTTGCTTTTATTAATGGAACCGCTGAAGCACCAAAAGTCTAATGTTCTAATTAGCATCATGGTTTAATAAAAACACCAAGAAACCAACTTTAAGGAAAGAACTTCTCTCTATTGTTTACATTAGTTCTATAGGATTTCTCTTAAATGCAGGAGCCGGACGTTCAAAATGTCGGAAGTGACTGAATGAATGAATGATCCAGAGGACGGCTGTTTGAATTGTAACTAACGGGGATTGTGGCCGTCTGTGAGCTCAACGTTGATTAATGAGTTGTGGAAAAGAAGCGAAGGTTCATGTGAGCGCCTGTGTCTCATAAACAGTCGTGTATGGTGGTGATGGAGGCTCAACAGGCCAGAGAGGCGCTGCTGGAGGGAAGCTTCCAATCAAACCACCAGGTCACATCACCTTCATGTCTCCATTTATATCAAACACAAACACTGGCCGGTACATGACGACAGCGATACAGGAAGTCTGTTTTACTGAATGGAGTCCAGTGAAGCCTCATTTAGATGCTTCATTCATGGTGTAAACTAAAAAAACGGTGCATTTAATTTAATTTAAACCTGTTTTAGAAACATGGTGTCATAGGATTCTGCATAAAAGACACTTCAATATGTTGAAAAACAGTCAAATACAGCGATGACTCGATAACCTGACGCTAAACGTAAAACCTTCTTTTATGTCGGATAGCGAGACTGTCGGATCCTCGAGCTACGAGGAGGGCTTGATGCTGGATTAGTGGTTCATATTTATGGTTCATAGTTGTTATAATAACTGGTAGGGCTGGTCCCAGTAGCACTTTCTGGGGCCTGTTCGACGAAGTGAGATCAACATACCCAGGATATGTTCCAGAGATCTGGCTTGACTAACCCTAACAATCTCAATCAGGATAACCGGTCCAACGACGGTGGTCATCAACTCTGTAAGTCAACCCAGGTTTGTCTGATCTGAGCACGTGCACATAAAGTGGGCGGAGTTATCAGCATCTGACCAATCAGGACTATGGACCAGTCTGGAGTAATTATAATCACAGATTTTTATTTATGTACATCGAATAATACAAAAACATCAGAGGAGCAGAAAGCAGCAGCGACCAAAGCAGGAAGGAACGCTGACAGGAAGCTGAATACGTCTGTTAGTTTATAATAAAATCTAATATGATCACTGATCAGATAATCAATCAGATATCAATAAGACAATCTGAGGATTCCTTTGACTAATTTGATGCCTGATGTATATACTTGTCTGACATTTGTTTTAACTTTCAGCTGCAACCCTGGCGAGGTGGGAACAAATTAAGAACAAACAGAAACATAATTCATCATTAACGTGTCCGACAAATACGAGCTTTAACGCTGAAGTCAGTTTACTGCTGTGGGCTGATATCAGAATGGAAATAATAATGAAACAGCTTCAACGCTGTCTGCAGCCAACAGGAAAAAAACTGAAGGAAGGCAGACAGGAGCTGATAGAGATCCTGGTCAGGGGGCACTAAGAGGTTCTGCCGGTCCTGAAAACCCCTCATAGTCCTCAGTGGTCCCTCTTAGTCCAGCTCTGATGTGGAGCGGCTCTTCTATTAATGCCGGTGATTCCATTTTGTTGAAATAACCACAAATATCTGTGAAATAATAATACGTTTAGCAATTTTTACAGGTAGTGAAAGAAATTAAAAAATAAAAATAATAAAAATGTTTTTTAAAGATTAAAGTGCAAATCAATACTTTTTCCAATGATTTTATTAAGTTAGTATCAGTAATTTAGCAAAACAAGAAAATTCTGTAAAATAAAAGCAAATTTATTTTTAAAAATACAATAAAAAAGAACATTTTTTTACAGTTCTAATGTAATCCTGGTGAGATAAACTATGAACTTTGGCCAGTTTTAAAAAAAGAGGATTTCTCCTTTGAATAAATACCGGCTTTAGTGAAACTCTTATCGAGGCGTGTTATTTGTGATTGCATTAACATCTCTTTGTTGTAAGTTTGCACAAGAGCTTTACAAGTGTGTGAAACAAGGAAGGGCTTGTGAAATATTTTAATCGATAAGTGTGAGATGAGAGGAAACGCTCTCGAGAAGCACGCAGCCATGAAAAGAGCATCAAATGTGCCATTGAGCAAAGTGGCCAAACGAGCTGGTCTGGGTTCAGAGTGGGAGGAGACAGGCCAGCATCAGGATGGGCTGAGCCTCTCCTGCTGGGAAAAGGTGTATCCTGGTCAGACAGGTGAGCAGAGAGGGGCCACCATGCACCGGACAGGTACGGGTGTGGACCCATGCAGGAGTGGGACTGGGGAGGAGGACTGAGAGCTGCGGTCTGAGTACTTTGTCCTGCAGTTTCTGAAGCACTTCTATTCAAACATGGCAGCGACTCGGAGGTTGGCGCTTCTTCTCTGCGTGGCGTTGGCGGCGTCCAGGTGTCTGGCCAGCGAGGACGAGCATCACGAGTCGACGGCGAGCAGCGATCACCAAGACGTCCCCAGCTCGGGGAACGGGACAAGCTCGGGTCACGACTCCTCCACGGGCTCGGGTCACGACTCCTCCACGGGCTCGGGTCATGACTCCTCCACGGGTTCGGGCCACGACTCGACGGGTTCGGGCGAACACGATTCGGGTCATGGAGGAGGCCCCGTCACCACGCTGCCCATCGTGTCCTGGAAGTGGCACCACGTCTCCACCCCATACCTGGTGGCCCTGTGGATCCTGGTCTCCTGGATCTGCAAACTCAGTGAGTCCTCAGATATGATGTTGCCCGACAAAGCCATCTTTTTGAGTTGGGACAACTTCTAAGGAAATTATGTTCAGCCAACAATCTAAAATGAGTTGGAGGAATTAGCTTCTCCTATTCAGGTGTGTTTTACCTTCTACTAATGACGGGCAGCTTAAAGACCCGCTTCAGGTTGGTTACTCATAAATTTTAAGTTGCATCAATCTTTATGAGTTGGGGCAACTTTTAATGAAATTATGTTCAACCAACAAGCTAAATTGAGTTGGAGGAATCAGCTTTTACTTTACTTTTACTTTTGATTGTTTTTTCATGTTTTCAAGTTTTTGCACGTTATTTGAAAAGAAACTGCACTTAATTGCCATAATTATAAACAAGTCGTTACTTGTTGATATTAAGTTGTTCCGATCAGTATTTCTACGTTATTTTGAATGAAAACCTGTTTTCGTTAATGTACACTTCAAAAAAATAATGCTTGAGATCAACAAGACAAAAATGAACTCAACAGTATGTGTTTTTGAGTTTTGGCAGCTTCTAAGGAATTGAAAAATTTGCCTTTTCTCTTCGTACGAAAGTTTTTTTAAAATTACCTAATGGCTGATTGCATAAACAAAAGTTTTTTTTATTACTTAGTGACTGATAGCAGCATTATCATTATTACCCATAAACATTAAGCTGTTCCAACTAGCTTTAATTTGAAAGTAAACTGTACTGAATTGCCATATTATTTAGTTGTTTTTATTCATTTGAACTTTATTTATTTATTTATTTTTAACCTAAAAAAAAAAAAAAAGAATCAGGCAGTTTGCATCAATCATTAGGAGTTCTGACAACTTCTAATTAAACTATGTTCAACCAACAAACTACATTTAGGTAGGGTAATAAGCCTAGCCTTAGCATAAACACACAAACATCAGTTGTATACCCATAAATATTGAGGTGTTCCAACTAGTTTTTCCACATCATCTGAAAGGAATTTTAGTCCCTAGTTATCATAATTATTAACACACACAAAAAGATGTATTTATGTATGATGTATGTTCTACACCTGGCGATGTACATCTATATAAAAATCTGTGATTATAATTGTACATTTGTTAATGGAAGCTCACGTCTAGAGACCATGGACGTCATGGCAGTCTTTATTTTCTAATGACTCCTAAAGGGAAACAATCCTGCATTTTGGTAGTTTTATAGATTTACTAAACATCATCTGGAAATAAGAGAAAATCTGCTGCGTCATAAACATACACACAGTTTGTATTTGGCTCATATTTGTCCATGTCCTGCTCAGTCGGGTTCTTCTGGTCTCCGTCGACCAGCTTCTGGTCCATCTTTGACTCCTCTGGACAGAATCGCCACAGTTCAACTAAACCCGTCGTCTTTCTGACTCGGACTTGTTTCCTCATCAGTCCACAGGTTCTGGTTGGTTTCAGTCAGGACTTTGGGGTGACCAGTCTAGAACCTTAACTCCAGCCTGACTGAACCATTTCTTTTCCACTTTTGATGTGACTTTGGACTCGTTAGGTCATCCAACTGCTTCCAATTAATTTGATTAGCACGACTTCTTACATCACCAACACTGATAATTATAATCAACGAATGCAGAAAAGAAACAAACTGGTGCTCAAAGAGAACAGAAAACAGAAAATAAAGAGTTCCAACATCCTCCCTGACATCTGGACAAAACCTGCCCCCCTGTGGTTTGGTACATACGAGGTTTAGAGTGAAAACCTTCCTGTAGTTTCACAGGACCTGGTTTCTAAGACGCCCGTGTTTCAGATGTAAATGCTTTGGAGTCTGACCTCTGCTGAAAATCTCCCAGATGAGACTCTTGTTCCTGTTGCGATCACAAAACATTGTCATTAGCAATTCCTGTATACACAACAGATGCAAATGGGCTGCGGCGATGTGGACAATGTAAATGAATGAGCATGCCACATGTGTGTGTGTGTGTTTGTGTGCATGTCTGCAGACATAAATATGGGGCTGTGGTCGTCTGTATGTGACGCAGGAAGTATCCGTGGTTAACCAAACAGTGGACTCAGATACAAGCAGCTGATGTTCTGCAGGCAGTTACAGTAAAAAGGTCAGTTTGAGGTCAGCTTTAGAAGATGTGCTGCTGTTAGAGCAGTGATCAGACAGAAACCCTCAAAGAGGTCAGTGCTGGTGAAACATTAGCAACGTTTAGGAGGTTTGTGGAAAGAAAAGTTTCTCCGTTTTTTTGCTCCTGTCTCATTTTTCCTCACCGTGGGTTGATTTTCCCTCAGAAAGAACTCAGAAATGTCGAATGAACGACACAGTGAGAAATCAG